CCCCCCCAGATCGCTGCTTCCTCCATTACTGAACCCCACTGAGAAAAGGGCCTTTCAGACAAGTCTGCAAGAGCAGATAGGAAAACGTGAAGAAGTTTTGAATGTTTCATATAGAAAGGGTGTGCAGTGAGTGTGGGTGTGTGCCTGATATCAGTTCTATACCTTTTCATTTCTGCCATACCTTTTCATTTTTAATATTTTTTCCCAACGACTTTTAGACCTTATCAGGAAGTATTAGCACGTAGCTGCCAGTTTAAGTAGATTATGTCCGATATGTTGAATTAGGTATATTATGCTAGAAAAAGACATACGTTTAACATGTTCCTGGTCTGGGCATCTCTTATATTTGATCAGCCATAGAAACAACGTTTATTTCTAGTTTCTAGGTATTACTAGTTATTACATTACATTACATTACATTGCATTTAGCTGACGCTTTTATCCAAAGCGACTTACAATAAGTACATTCGACCAGGAAGATACAAACTTGAAGAAAACAGAATCATATAAGTACATCAGGTTTCATAGAGCCAAACATTTCAAGTGCTACTCAACTGGCTTTAGATAAGCCAGTCCTTTATTAGTATATAATTGCTTTGTTAGTCATTCTATCGCTCAAAGTGGAGTCGAAAGAGCTGCTGATGATGTTAATATAACTCAAATAAGTGACAGTATTAATACCATTAGAGCTGGCAAAAAACACATCCCCAACTATATGTAGGTCTTACTGATGTTTCTGTAAACATATGTTGTATTAGTAAATAAAATACACTTTTTACAAAAAGGTAATAGGAAGAAAATATCTACATACGCAAATGTAGTCATTTAAAAGAAAGACAGAAAAACATTGATATCTTGAATCGTAGCTACAATGCTACTTTAAAGCATGAGCCAAGCCAAGGGTGGTTCTACCCTCTGTACTATAGGTAATATAGTACATTTTCAACTGCGTACTCAACAACTCCACAGAATTTTTTCGAAGTTCCCTTCATGTCTCAGATTCGTACCGTCCAACCTGATGAGAAGATTTTTTTCAACTCCTCATCTAGAAAAAATTTAAGAGTGGAGAAAATAAAACACACTCAAGAGTTTGACAAGCGCCGAATTAGGGCAGCAAGTTATCTTTGACACCATGGAATCAAACTAAATTGTGGGGGTGTTAGCTTCAAGGCAGCATTCTGACAAATGTTTACCTTTATTAGACAGTTTGCAAGTTGTCTTTTGACTCTCCAAACTCCAAATGGGACAACATTCTTGTTAGCGTCTACGCAGCCTGCTAACAAACATCTACCTTTTATGGTAAGAAAAACTGTGAGTAAAAATGGACTGTGTAATCCAAGCATGACTGAAGTCACGTTAGCTTCTGTGCTAATGAGATAGTTCTTATAATTGTATATGGCCGGTACAAACTCCATATGAGACTGTAATTAGTTTTTAGGCAACATGCTAACAGTGTCTTTCTTAAGCACACCTTCTGCAGCTGTGACTATTAATATGCTCCTGCTGAGAGCGCCACTTTAGCACATCTGGTAGAGCAGGTGCCCCATGCATGCTCTGGTACTGAGTCCTTAGCCCAGCAACCAAAAGATTATGTAAACGTTTACAATGTACTTATTGTAGTGGAGTGAGCTGAGAGCACTTGATTGAATCAAAGCCTCTTTTTTTTTGTTTACAGTAGCAGCCTGATATCAATCAGTCAATGCTCTGCAGCCACACCCTTTCACTGCTGTGTGTTTGCTGTCGACTGCTCCTCTCCACTTCACGCCACTGACTTTCTTTCTGAATACTGTACCAAGCAATATAAGCTCCATCTTTAGCTTCGTGTGTCAGAGTCGTAACGCTACATTGATGTGACCCAGTGTTAAATCTGAACAAAAAATGTATCTGAAAGCTGACCTGCCATTCTTCCTCAACATGTTCACTATGAGGTAGACTGTGACAAAAGAAATGCAGAATAAGTCCATGAATAGCTGATAGCTTTTGTTCATATCATTTACATTCAGTCCACCTGTCAGTTTCCCTACGCTCATCCCATTATGCAACTGCAGGAATAGCTCATTCCTTGTCTTAATTGCATCATTCATTTTTAAATATATGTATTTTACTGATTGTCATTTTCCACAAATTTCTTATTTTATGACATTCATAATGGAAGTGATCAGCTTTATCCTGATTGTATGAATAATTGTTATAGCTGTAAGGAATGTTAATGTACCTGAACATGGGATCCATACTCACAGAAGTACCTGGTTATATTACTCCTTGTCTGCATGCACACATTATGAAAATAGTGCTTTAAATGTAAATGACAAACTAACCTAATTTAATGTCTTTAAAATTCATGAAAGCAAGAATAATATGTCATGCCTCTAATTGTCATTAGCATGCTTTCTCTATAGGCTTGTGTATAAATTAGCTTTGTTGAACTAAACCCACCATGAAGAAATTGTAAAAAGGGGAAATGACTCAGCACCTCTGACTGCACTCAGTTAGAAGAAACCAGCTGTGTCAAGCATGCGACCCTGTTATGAGGGGACGTGAACTGGAGGCAGTTTCTATCTGCTTTATTAGCAGTCTAGTGCATATTTGAACAACATTTTCCGAAAATACCAAATCTTCTGAAAATTGTAAAAGAAAATGCAAATGTACGTACGACTTAATCAGTAGATGGCATTATATGCCACTCAGGTGCCATAATACCATTGCAGAGGAAGACAATTCAACAAAATGACAACATTTAAAGAATGCTGTAAATGCACAAATGTTGGAAAAACAATAAATAAATATTAATAATGATAATAATAATAACTTAAATTGATATAGCGCCTTTCAGGGGACCCAAGGTCGCTTTACAGAAAAAACAGGAGTAAAACAAACAAAACAAAACAGTCAGACAAACAGTCAGACAGACAAAACAACATAAATAAATCATTAATCAAACATGTTGCATTTACATTTGTTTTTGTCCTAATTTGTGTCTCCTTTGCGCACAACACAGATCAGATGTTTCCTTTTTTTCTTTGTAATTGCTTTGTTATTGCATTTTTTTTTTTTAAATGCGCTATTTGCTCATAAAAGCATAAGGTTCGCAGGTGTGACAGATGGATAGGGGCCTGTTCCATTATTCCTGCTCAAGTTCAAGTTAGCCTTTCATACTCAATGTTGATGCTGGGCTTCTAACAAAGCAGTTGTCACATGGAGCTGCTCACTGGGTCCACAGTATCAATGCACCCCTCCTTCCTTCCCAAACCTCCCCTCACAACAGCATTTCACAGATAACAGCCTATGCTCGATTCACTGTGAAGGACTCACTCTCTCTTTGACTCTATGACTATGTTTCCGTTGCCAAGTATCGACACAGACGGACGCATTGTGTTTCCTCTACTGCTTGCAGTCCACTCAATCTGTGCCGGATAGTAACATGTTGTATAACTGTGACACATTTGGCATAATGGAAAACTATGTAATCATTTATTACATCATTGCTTGTGGTTTGAATGTGTATTTAGTGTTGCTGAATATGTTCATCACATGAACCAGTTTAAGTGCAGTAGAATTGTAGGAAATAAAAACATGATTTTCTAAATGGGATGGTTCCAAAGTGTAAGTAATCCAAAATTGTTTCCAGACAATGAAAAGGAACAAAAAAAGATGGAAACTGTTTTGACAAAAAATATTCCCTCATTTGGTGTTTCGATGATGCGGATAAAGAGTGCACCGGATATTCAGATAAACACCTACAAAATAGGAGAAGTATTGTGTGTTGTGTATTATATCATTTGCATAGAGCCCAACCAATTCAGTGACCCCCTCTGTCCTGTATAAACGCATCTGCATTAGTAATGTTGTATTTTTTCAGCCTTTTTCCACAGCCTAGTGCCACAGCCACTAGGTTGTGATGAATATGGAGAAAGAACATCTTGATGGTTATTGTGATGAGTTTTTACTTTTTTTGCCATCATTATCAGTGATCTCCTGACAAGTGTATCAGCTGCAAATGATTGAGGCTGCTATATGAGGCCCAATGCCCAATTTCACATACTGTACTTTGAGTATACACACTTTTCTCGGTGCACTAGCTTTTTGAGAGTTGGATTAAGAGGCTGCAGGGGGGATGAAGGGTCTCCCACACAACGCCGGGTCCTTATCTAGAGAACTTTACTGCAGCCTTGATGAGCAGGAGAGATAACAGAGCAGGACCAGAGCCAGCACGAGCAAGGTCAGCGAAACACTCACTGACAGCCATATCCCCGAAGACAAGCTTCAGAGCAAAGACAGATAAATGCCAAATCAGACATCATCATCATCATCGGCCCCCCATCCCATATCACAGACATCCAGAATTTCAACTTCACCATTGACAACCACATTCTATCTCCCCCCCTCACATCCGCAACCTCGGAGTCATTTTCGACAGTCAGCTCAAATTCAACCACCACATAAATCACATCACCAGGACCGCCTTTTTCCACCTCAAAAACATTGCCCATCTCCGCCCATCACTCTCCTCCTCTGCTGCTGAAACCCTGATTCATGCATTCATCACTTCACGACTCGACTACTGCATTAGCATCCTCTATGGCATACCATCCAACCTCCTCAATAAACTCCAACATATCCAGAACTCTGCTGCCCGCCTCCTCACCCACACCCGCTCCCGAGACCACATCACTCCCATCCTCCAGAACCTCCACTGGCTCCCCGTCCGTCAAAGAATCCACTTCAAAGTCCTTCTCATTACTTACAAAGCCCTCAACAACCAGGCCCCCCCCCTACCTCACAGACCTGCTGCACCACCACACCCCTTCCCGCTGCCTCCGTTCATCAGAAGCCAACCTCCTATCCATTCCCACCCGCACCAATCACCGGACCTGGGGGGACAGACCCTTCTCCGTCGCTGCCCCCTCCCTCTGGAACTCACTCCCACAACCCATCAGAGACTGCACCGACCACACCACCTTAAAAAAACTCACAAAAACTCACCTCTTCAATCTGGCTTTTAATGTGTGATTGTTTTTGTATTATTTGACTTCAACTTTAACTATATATTTATTTGTTGTTCCTTTCTTCTCTTTTCTTTTCTCTTCACTATTATCTGTAAAGCGTCTTTGAGCACCTGTAAAAGCGCTAACAAATTAAATCTATTATTATTATTATAAATAGTCTTTACCAAAGGGAGATTTGTTTACCCCTGAAGTGCCACTACATATAAAATATCCTTGCATCTGTAGATTGATATGATTCTATTATTAGTATTATTCTAAAAACATTTTGAATGTTCACATCAGAATTTACTGGATACAAAATCTGTAAGCATATATCAATAATCCTAATTTAAGCATTCCTGAATCTTCATTAATGTTTGTTTACTTAGTGTTAGGGGGCACATGCTCATTTTCAGGTTCATATTTATATTTTGTTCCTCTACTGTGACATGTTTCCATGCTTTAATGTTCAAAAATCCCTTTATTTGTCTCATACTGTGCTGCAGCACCTCTTTTCACCCTCTGTCTGAAACCAGTCTGCTCTGATTGGTTAGCTGGCCGGCTCTGTTGTGATTGGTCAACCGCTCAGAGATGTCCCACCCTTAGCCTACCACGTACAATGTGTCGGAGCACTGCTCAGAGTAGCCAGTGCTACATAGTGATGTCATTATGTTATGTAAGTAAACAAAGGAGTCAAATTGAGGTGTTTCAGGCTGGNNNTTTCGGGGGGGGGGGGGGGGGGATGTGTGGGAGATTTAGCCTTTCAGACCATTTACATACACACAGACCTACATACCACACAACAGGAAACTTAAACCCCCCAAAAGCACAACAGGTCTTTAATATAAATGTACCTAACATATAAGCAGTTTCAATCAATCAATCAATCAATCAATCAATCAATCAATCTATGTTTATTTATATAGCCCAATATCACAAATGTTACATTTGTCTCAGTGGACTTCACAGTTTGTACAGAATATCAGTATGACAATACGACACCCTCTGTCCTTAGACCCTCGCATCGTACAAGGAAAAACTTCCAGAGAAAACCCACAGTTTAAAGGGAAAAATGGGAGAAACCTCAGGGAGAGCAACACAGGAGGAATCCCTCTCCCAGGACGGACAGACGTGCAATAGATGCCGTGTGTAAATTGAAGAGATAATACATTTTACAGCGTAGGTAGACCAAAATGTTTGAAAATGCATGTGTGAGAGTTTCCCTCTCTGAGCAGCAGGGGGTTATGAACCGTGAAAGAGAACTGGTCAGACGTACGATACAATCGTCGAAGAGGGACCTGCTCTTGTAGATGCATTAGCACCAGATAAGCTTAAGCCTTAATACACAGTAAAGTGATTTGTTTTTGAAAAAGCATATTGTTTATTATTGTGGCTCTTTCCTGCTGTAACGCTGCAAATTTCCCCTCTGTGGGACTAATAAAGGTATTCTGATTCTGATTCTGAACACAAATTACCACGAGATACAAACACACTCCTGAGTACAAATCCTCTCTCTTTCCTGGTGGAGCAGCACCACTATGATAACCTCATTTTGATTGTAACCATTGAGCCATTACACATATCTTGGTCCTTGTTTGGCTGGCTGTTGAGCTATACAATGAATCATAAATCATCCCTTATCCTCTGCTGTTCAGATAAATCACTGGCCGTTTTACACCCAGAAAGGGCCATTTGTATTCTCATATTTTGCTGTTTATGTATTCCTATCGTTTGTTCTCCGTCATGCGATTTGCATTACTGTCTGCGGTGACTTTAGGAGTCTGACGGCTCTTTACAGGAAAAGGACAGGAGGGAGTTTCTGAGGCGTTGGTGATCCCCCCCGCTTCCCCTTCCTGTCTCTGCCTGACTGTGTAATGTCAAACGAGAAATGGACAGACAGAGGCTAATGAATTTCTGCCTGTCGAGGAATATCAAACTGAGTGCTTTGGTGGAGGGTGAGGAGCCTTCATTAGAGTGTAAAAAGCCCACCCCACCTTCCCCTCTCCCTACACATCCATCGGAAATGGGCTGTCCTCTCCATCCCTGAGTAGAGATTAGGGATTCCATTGCTGGGGGATTCAGGCAACTGATAAGCCTGACTACTAAAGATAGGAACAGCGCAAGTTTTATACCGGAAAAACGTTCCATTAAGGATGAGGCAGGCAGGGATTCACAAGGGGAGCTGCCCCACACACTGTATCTCTGCTAATACTTTCACCTTAATAGCATTTAAATAAGGAGAGATCAGCTAGTAAGTGTAGGAATATTTATAGAGGTTGGCAACAGTGTAAGGCAATTTAATCCCATCCATTTAAGGGATCGTTATCACCTATAGGGCCGTAAATTGAGTTCCTTAGAGTCAAGGGCACTAATGAAGAATATGTGAAAAGATACAAGGATGCTATTTTTTTAAATGCCAAAAAGCTACATTGAACTCTTAGAAACTCAAGAGAAGAGATCCTAGGATATGTGCATTTTTATTCACATGCATAACAACAATGATTTGGTACTGTCATATAAATTATTTGTAAAGGTTCATTAACCTGTATTTTGAATCAAATGACTATTCTTAAAGCTGTTGTTTGCTATGATGTGTCAGAAGTATTCTGAAGGGTTACAGGAATCATATGCTTAGCTCAAACAAGGGCAATGGGAGAATAACAACTTCAAGCAAATGCTAATGTTGTTGTGTGTATCAAATAGACAATTGCTTGCACATGCTGGTCAGTGATATCATACCATGGGTTTACTAGCTTTAAGTAGTCTCTCCTCATACTGTACATTGGCACACATGCATGAACATTTGTTGTTGGAGTACGATAGGAATAACTATTTACAAGATGCCATGCAAACCAGATGTCCTTAATTTGGTGAATTTACCAATGTGAACGAGGGCAGAAAGATGATGCTTGTCAATAAAAAGTTGGGAAAAGTCCAGAAAAAGACTCTTACTAATGAATAGAGTTCCCATAAGTGTATACTCTTCTTATCTCAAACCACAGGCAACGATCAATGACAACTAAGCCTGCTCTATAATATACACCAATCTGCTTGTCTTTTATGAACTTAATTTCTTAAACAAAAAATATGACTGAACATATTTGATGAGCGAAAAAAGTTTTTGACACTGCTGTGCTCACTTGCCATTGCTATTACTGTCATCAGCAGCGACAGGAGTCAAGTGTCTCAGTAGGCAATACACAGTGGAACCCAACAATGTTAACTTAGGACCTTCGTTTTGCAGTCAAGTCAATGCTCCAGCTGACAAGTCGCCTGACAGCGGTAGTTATGGAATGATGGGCTGAGCTGGTCATGCCTAAGTGATCTTGATTGATTTTGGTTCTAGCTTACAGTCAATGTTTCAGTTCCAGCGTCCGCGCCTGAGTGAGGCAGCGCTGTCAATCACAGCCTGAGACAAGGCCTTCGCTAAGTTTGGCGCCAATCAATATAACATAGCTGACTGCTATCATGGGGTAAATGAAGCCCTTGTAAGGAAGTGAATGAGACAGACGGAGGAAAATCTTTGCTGTGATATCTTTAGTCTAGGGTTGACAGTGATGATGTTGACATGCACGAAGAGGCAAATGCACTTTTTGAGATCAGAGGAAGCTTAAAAAGTTGGGTGAGCCAACTTTGGTTACCAATAGGAAATTATGCAAAACTGAAGGATATGAAACACAAAGCCCTGCACATGCAGAAGAAGCTCATAAAAGTACCACAATGCTTTTTTTAAGAAGGAAAATATGAAAATGACTTACATGTCATACCATCCACAAAAATGAATTAGGTACGCATTCATTCACAGTGCACACAATACAATAAATGTTTCTGTGTTCCCTGTCACACATGCCCATTGACCTGGACTTTTTGCATTGATTGGAATAATGGGTGGAAACAAAATTGCCAGTGAGGTAATTAAAGTTGTATATTTCCTCTGGTTCAAAGAGTTCTGGGCATGAATTTCCATGGTCTGGTCGAAAATGATAAAACGATTAATTGGACAGAAATAACATGACTTCTGCAAACTAACTGTATATTAAGGCAACATTTATAAATATTTTAGTCTAAATGGGACCATAATTTAAAAAAGGAAATCATGTTCTTTTTAAAAGACTTGAAACTTGCAACAGAGACCATAAACTGAGTAAGTAATACATGAAGTGAGTAATATAGCGCCATTTTCTCATTGACTGTCACCTGAATGATTTCATATTTCAAATGTATGATTTGAACATATAAATAAAAAAGACAGGCAAATAAATAAAACGATGTATAGGAGAAAATCGTCCAAACTTATCAGCAAATGAACCTCAATTATATCCGTAAATTCCAAAGTCTTAAGTTCAACTCCAGTTAGTAACTAAGTGGAGGAATCCTTCTTCATAGTTGAGAGCCTAAATGCTTTTCAATCATCTCGAGTTGTAAGATTGATTTTATGTTCTTTACGTGAGGACGAACAGGTCAAAACTCCAGCTACATTTTATAGCCTTATAATTAACACATTTATTGGCATGGTCCCTGATGAACAGCACAAGCCAACGTTTTTGACTTTAATAATAAAAGCTGTTCTTTGTTCCGCCAGTGAAGCCAGTTTGTCCTACCATAACCTTAGCTGGTATGATAGTGATACACACTATAGGCCATCATAAAATCAAAGGATGCCAGCTTTCATAACACTTCAAGTCAGGTGTTTCTGCAATACTGTCTGATCAGGTTGCAATATATTTACCAAACACATACAGCAGTAATATTGGATGCAGCCCTTCATTACATTAACACAACTCTTTCCCTTCACAGGAGAACCCACCAGCTAGATCACATCCACTTTCAGTCAGGAAAAGGAGAAAAACACCCCTTCCAAACGAATTATCATTGGACAGCTGTTCTGTTGGGGACGATCCAAACTCAACAATCACTTCCTGGACTGCTGCTGACAGCCACTGCTGGTTCTCATAACGACGTTGTAGAAACGTTGGCGCCTGCACCTTCTTAACACATCTCAATTTGGCATGCTGCATAGGGCATCTGACTGCTCTAACTGGGTGTAGAGAATTGGCAGTTTATTCTTTATGGCAGCCTCAGTCCTTACAGAAACTGATGCAGTTCTCAGTTTTTTTTGCTAGATAATTTAGAGTTTGTTTCCCCGAGGTCACCTTACCTGAAATGAATGCACATGATCACGTTTCCACCAAATGGCACATGTTATATTCTACTGAGGGTTAGAGCCTTATGTTTATTCTATAAGCTGCTGTGCCATATCATGAATCAACTACCTTTCCTTGACAAGTAAATCTCATTAGCGGTATATTTGTTTGCTTAGTGGGTGTCAGAGAATGTGTGCACAGTCTGGTGGGCTGGGGAGGGATGAAAAAGAGGCAGAAGAAGTTTTCTTTCTGACAGATGTTTACCATCTAATTTGGCCAGGCTAACCACATCGCAGCCTTCTGAGCAATGCCAATGACCAGTCCTCGTGGACACTTGGCCTCACAGATGTTGAGCTGTTGATTTACAGTCCAGTCAACACGGGGGAAGACTTTTGGATGTTTCGGCAGACACCCTTACTCCTGGTTTGGCATGGAGTTGTGAAGCAGTGTTTGTGTATGTTAAGCGCACATTTGCACAGTCGTTGCTTTGTGTGCGCACATTTGTTACTCCAGGTAGGCTACAGTATGTATATGTTTGTGCAGCGTCTTCTTTACACAGAGCTTCTGCAGCATTGGGAATGGTTTAATTATTCAACAATATCAGCAAGTTACTAGAATTCCATGACATTTAATAGAAACTTAAGGCGTGATTTTAATGGTTTATTTTTTTTTTTACACAATCAAAATCACATTTACCAGCCAAATGTATTTAATTGTATTAGCAGCAGTCTTGCCCACTTCTTCCCAGGATTGCTTGGCTTTTATTTGAGAGACAACAGAGAAATGCATTGTTACCTTGAGGCTCATTGTGAGCAACAGTAGCACTCACCATGCAATACAAAACCCAAAGGTTTTGGTTTATTTCTATTTGTTTTCGAACTGAGGGTTTCAGGAATCGTAACTACTTTTAAATACACATCATTTTTAAATGACTCACTTCAATTCTAACTATTCAGTGCCATACCTAAACAAATCATAATTTTTGTCTCTCTTCTAATATCATCAGACTGTCTTTCTCCTTTCTAAAGCCTGTTGCTAATTGTCGCTTCCCTTTTCGATGTAAACAACACAATGTGTCATTATGCAAATGTACAATTATGAATGTGTTTGCCCTTGACTGTGTCAGGGGTTCCTAAATTACAGCAGTCAAGAAGGAAATGCCAGCTCCATGCAGGAGTATAGCTTAATTGTAAAGGAAGTGGTGGTCTCCTTACTACTGGCACAGTCGTGCCTTATTTACAGGAAGCTAAATCCCTCTCTGGCTGTAATTTGAATGAGGGCATGGTAGGTCGGTTTGCAACTATTGAGACAGAATTTCTTTCCCCAATTTTCAAAAAAAATCTTATTTGGATGCCTTTATTGATTGCTCAGTGCTATCCACCAAACTGCAGTTTGTAAAGATTATAATTTAAGTGAGAAAATATGCTGCCTATGCGGACAAATTGGGCCCTTATTAAAAATAAATATTACTGTTTCCTGTTTTGTTATTTATATTCATTTAATCATTAATTCATTGAAATGTTTATTTAACCCTGAGATATCATTCGGCAGTGGGGGGCTTGGGCTGTGAGCCGTAGGGTCGCCGGTTCAAGTCCCCGAACAGACCTAAATATGGAGTGTGGACTGGTACTTGGAGAGGTCCCTCTCCCATTGCTCCCCGGGCGCTGTACAATAGCTGCCCACTGTTCCTACTACTAGACTCCTGGTACTAGGATGGGTTAAATGCAGAGGCCACATTTCACTGTGTGTGCTGTGTGCTCTGCATGTGTGACCATTAAAGAGGGGTTTCATCCCTCCTATTCTATCTTCTATCATTGAGGTTTCCCTCATTTTCAACGATGGCAAAATACAGGAAATTGCAGTTAACAAATAAATAAAGGAAAATAATCAAGAAAAGCAGTTGCACACTGAGGTGAAATGGTTTGAGATCCTCCTCCTGACTTGACTTGATCAGGGGAAGTCAGAACGTCAGTGTTAAGAATGTGTTGCAGACAGGGGCGTTGCTTGGATCTAGTAACATTGGGGGCTTAGCCCAGCACGACAATTGCACATTCAAAACTATACATATACGTATCAATAGAGCAACCAAAGTATACACAATATGAAATGTAAATAATGAATACAACTTTCAGTCCTCTATCCAAGCAGAAATATATGGACATAGGTTACTATATAAAAAAGGGTGCAAACGTATTGAGTATCCTAGCCATGAGAACTTGTTTTAAAGGGGACCTATTAGGCAAAATCTACTTTTTCCTGTCTTTTTTACATCAACACGTGTCCCCTGTGTATAAGGAGATTCTGAAAGTTTCAGGAAAAAAGATTCACTTACTTTTGGTCCTGATCCATTTATATAAAAACCTGTCTGAAAATGAGCTGATCAGATTTTGGCCTCTTTATGATTTTTTGGCTTGTATAACAATTAGCCAATCACCAACCAAGGTAAGAAGAAGAACTACATCTCTGGTCTCCCACAACAACAAACGTCACCAAGATGGCCGTCACTACTGTCTTTTCAACAAAACGATTGACTACCCTTACTATCACCACAATGAAACACGTCCAGAAGAACGTCATGCAAAGCTGCCTGCCTGCGTTCCTTTGATTCTCTCTGAACTGCCTGGTCTTTTTAATGTTTAATGTCAACCATTTGTGCAGATAGCATGAAGTACAAAAGATTGGCGATCGCCGATGCTAGCGTTAGCATTTCTCCCCCGGGCTTAAATTGTGTATTATAGAATGATCACACCGGTGACAGTGCTCTTCAAATGGTTCAAGAAATATGACTACTACTCTTACTGTTTAACATTTTGGGTTACTTGATGTTACTTCATATTAAGGCTAATACAAATGACAAGGCTGCAATGCGAACTAACGTGCTAGCCACTAGCTAGGTAGCTAATTTGATCCAGCCACTCCTGGTCCTTTCATCAGACAGGAAGCGAAAGAACGAGCAAGACCCATTGCTGTTATGATAACAACGGTACTAAGCACACAGGCATCTTGTTAAAGTTATCTTATCTTAGCCAGCGCCATATAGATAGATTATATCTATATGGCGCTGATCTTAGCTATCTCTTAGTGGAGGAAAACAATTGTGACATCACTTACGCGACTCTGGGATTTGTAGTCTTTCTAGTTGCGTATTTTTCATAGTCTTATATTTCAACAGTTTTACGACAAACTGTGACTTTTTTAACATGGAAATTATTTGTTAAGATTGAAAAACATCATATCTGTAATTTATGGCACAATTCAAACGGGATCGAAAGATACGTTTTCTCTCTCCATTGACTTCAATACATTATTTTTCCGAAATAAGATCCCATGGACCGGAAGTAGATGGGCGTGACTTCGCCACTCTATATATCTGAGATCTAATATAAAGTAATGAAAAAAAGTATAATAGGAGACCTAAACTAACTAAAGTTATTTGTAAATACTCAAACAGTACTTTACTTCAACTGAGCTGTAGTTATCTCAGTCTCTTTTTCTGACGGGAGAGGACTCTCCGTCTACCTTGCTGTAGAAACTTCTTATATCCAGTAGCACAGCTAGCTAACCAGATGCTAGCAACAACAATCCCTGTAACTGGTGCGCGTCTATCATTTTTCCATGACGTGATAATACTTCAGCGTTGTTAACATGGGGACATTCTCTTTATACATCCATGACACAAATCTACGTAAATGCGGAAGTGGGTGTGGTTAAATCTAAACTGGGTTGGAAAAACGCTCTCTCTCTCGCTTTCTCGCTCACTCACATAAAATGCTCTCCTGCAACACACACAGAGCCGAGTTTCAATGACACCCTGACCCATAAGTACGTGTACTGTATCATATTATTTTTCGATGACTTCATTGTATGATCAGTATGACAGATGAAAATATCCTGATTATTTCTTTAAATGTTCTTTATGTTGTGAAAAAAAAATAGATATTGAAATCCGGGGCTATTTCCAAAATATCTGGGGCTGACCAGGCCGGACGACGCCTCTGGTTGTAGATTATTACAAATGTTTTGAGCAAAAAAGCTTAAGGCAGGTTTTCCATGTTCAGAAATAACCTCTGGGATTTAAGTATAAGACAGTTAGTAAAGCAAGTTTGGCAGGGTCCCGTGGTCCAGTCAAGATTGTATACAAGACAGGACCCAGAATCGATCCTTGCGGAATACCCTTTGATACTGGTACTATAAAACCTCTGATTCCATATTCTTCAAACACACGAAAATATTTCAGAAACTTAATTCTGAAACCATTCACAATCAAACCGTAGACTGTACACAGTATGGACGTAGTCTCTGTGATATAATTTTATTAGGGTTAGGGTTGTTGAGCATGTGTTGGAGTGGAACGTCAGTGAAGCTGAGGAGGGCTCAGATAAACTATCTGTGCAGACAGCCAGCAGCTATCAGAGTGTCGCAAAAAAAGTGTCCAGCCTTAATTTTGTATAATTGAAGCAGTAATGTAATTCACATATGTTTATTTATGCTGGCATCCTTACAATAGAAATGTACTCACTCTGAAATGTATAATTTCTAACCTCAGCTAATTACCACAAGCAGCCATGTAAATTACCACCGAAGAGCGATCATTTCTCTGATTAACTGGATTCATTAACAATTCAGTCCTTTTGTTTTTAATTCAGCATTTAGACAGGCACATGTCAAAACGACACTATTAATTACACTGAACAAAAATATAAATGCAACACTTTTGTTTTTGCTCCCATTTTTCATGAGATGAACTCAAAGATCTAAAACATTTTCTATATACACAAAATAACCATTTCTCTCAAATATTGTTCACAAATTTGAAAAAATCTGTGATAGTGAGCACTTCTCCTTTGCCGAGATAATCCATCCCACCTCACAGGTGTGGCATATCAAGATGCTGATTAGAAAGCATGGTTATTGCACAGGTGTGCCTTTGGCTGGCCACAATAAAAGGCCACTCTGAAACGTGCAGTTTTGCTTTATTGGGGGGGTCTGNGCAAACTGTTAACACTCAAGAACGCACTTCAATAGAATTAATAATGTAAAAAAAAAATCAAACGGTATCATAAATCTAACTCAGCCTTAAACTCGTTTTACATGCTTTATTACTAGTCGCCTGGACTACTGCAATTCTCGTGGTACTCCAAAAAAAAATGTTTAAAGAAATTGCAATTAATTCAGAATGCTACGGCCAGGATGTTAACAAACACAGAAAAAAGGGATAACATGTTCCCTGTGCTGGCATCACTGCACTGGTTACCGGTGTCTTTCCGAGTTGATTTTAAAATACTATTAATTACACTGAACAAAAATATAAATGCAACACTTTTGTTTTTGCTCCCATTTTTCATGAGATGAACTCAAAGATCTAAAACATTTTCTATATACACAAAATAACAATTTCTCTCAAATTTTCACAAATCTGAAAAAATCTGTGATAGTGAGCACTTCTCCTTTGCCAAAATAATCCATCCCACCTCACAGGTGTGGCATATCAAGCTGCTGTCTAGACAGCATGATTATTGCACAGGTGTGCCTTTGGCTGGCCACAATAAAAGGCCACTCTGAAACGTGCAGTTTTGCTTTATTGGGGGGGTCTGGGGGGGTCCGAAAACCCTAGGGTTAAACCCTAACCCTAACCCTAACATGTCACCCATCTTCTTCGCATAGAGTTGATCAGGTTGTTGATTGTGGCCTGTGGAATGTTGGTCCACTCCTCTTCAATGGCTGTGTGAAGTTGCTGGATATTGGCAGGAACTGGTACAAGCTGTCGTATACGCCGATCCAGAGCATCCCAAACATGCTCAATGGGTGACATGTTAGGGTTAGGGTTAGGGTTTAACCCTAGGGTTTTCGGACCCCCCCAGACCCCCCCAATAAAGCAAAACTGCACGTTTCAGAGTGGCCTTTTATTGTGGCCAGCCTAAGGCACACCTGTGCAATAACCATGCTGTCTAATCAGCATCTTGATATACCACACCTGTGAGGTGGGATGGATTATCTCGGCAAAGGAGAAGTGCTCACTATCACAGATTTTTTCAGATTTGTGAACAATATTTGAGAGAAATGGTTATTTTGTGTATTTAGAAAATGTTTTAGATCTTTGAGTTCATCTCATGAAAAATGGGAGCAAAAACAAAAGTGTTGCATTTATATTTTTGTTCAGTGTATGTATGTAGCCTCCCACAGTTCCTTCCCAGTCTGCACCTTAGTCATGGTGGACCATTTCACTCCCAGAGTTTGTTTATACTTGGTATTCAAAGCTCTATTTGGTCGTCTGCACTGTGTAATTTGTGGTAAAAGCCTCTATTTAAAGTTTGAAATTGCATATGTGCATGTAGGACAAATAAACTCTATTTTAGCAACCCCCTGCACAACAATCACACAGTTAGAAGTGGAAGTTACCCAGAACAACTGCAGACCTATTGATTGTCCACTAAGCAGTTTGGAGGTTAAACGCATGTCATCAGTACCTCTAACGGTCCATCAGTCCCTCTGGACTTCTATTGTACATAATCACACCATTTATCAAGGATGATCGATTGTATTTGAAGTACCTGCTTCATATGAGTCTGCCAAACAACACTTGTATTGAAACATTATAATGCAAATTAGTCTTTTAATAATTATTGTATACCTTTATAAACACTTTGTTCTGAAATGTTTTCAACATAACCAACCTGTAAACCAAAAATATTTATGCAACTAATCAATAATGATTTACATTCAGCCTAGCCTAACAGGAATCCCCAATACCACAGAAACACACACAAATACACACACACACACACACACACACACAACCGCAGTACCATCCTTTGGCTCCCGCAAGTTCTGGAAAAGAGTCTCAGAAAGTATTTGCTTCTAATGTTCCACTCAGAAATGTGCAGGTGTGTGTGTGTGTGTGTGTGTGTGTGTGTGTGTGTGTGTGTGTGTGTGTGTGTGTGTGTGTGTGTGTGTGTGTGTGTGTGTGTGTGTGTGTGTGTGTGTAAACAATGTGAAGTACTGACTGATGGTAGCAACCCTATATGTGCTGGCCACACAGCTAAGGTAATGGACTATCAGTAGTAGATCATAGGATATTGATTGACAAATTGCTATCATCACATAATTATCTTGTATTTTCTCTGCACATAAATGCAAAGTTTGAGGAGCACAGTATTTTCTTCGGGTTGCTTTCCCTCCCGGGCTTACTCATTAATTTGTTTTTTTACGTGTGTGTCCTTTATGTCCAAGGGATTTGGATGGAAAATCCCCATATCTGACAGTAGAGTCCATTGATATTCTGCACAACACGCCAGTTGAGGTTTCACTCGAGGGTGGAGGGGGTATTCTCTTGCTTTACACACTCTCCTCTCCTCTGCTTCGACACACACACACACACACACACACACACACACACACACACACACACACACACACACACACACACACACACACACACACACACACACACACACACACACACACTCTCTCTTATACACCTTTCCCACCTTAAGGCAACCGTGCTGCACCTCTGCCTGCCTTCTCTGTCTCTGTTTCTCTGCATCATCCAGACTGTAAGTCGAGCTGCAATGGTACTGCGACACACTCTACTTAGAATTAGTCTTCACCTGAGGAGGAGCGCGTTACCAAACAAACAGCTGGCACGTCGTCACTGAAAAGAAAGAATAGAAGAGCTAACACTTCAGTGGAATAGACTACAACACTTATTTGTCATATTCTGTTTTATAATCATGAAGGTTAATCTCAAAGTGTGTGCCAAATAGCTTTCCTTTTTGCCAAAACAGCTTTATGAACAGCTGTTTCCAATGCTATCCAAGCATGATGAGTGTCAGAATCACTTTGTGTGATTCATAGTTTTATTTTGGAGAAATGGACCTTGTCGCAGCTTTACCTTGGGTGTTGCATGCTGTGTAGATGTTGCTACTTTACTGCAATCAATTTCAACTTTGACCTCATTTGCTGGTGATCTTTAAATGTCAACAAGATGACATGATGACAAGATGCTGCCTGTGACATTACCTGGAAGTGATCGTGAAAGACAAGAAAATGTATTGTCTTTGTGTCAGAGTTCATAGGACTCTACAACACCTCGTTCAGTTAATACCATTACTGTGACATGAAAACTATACCTGTGACGAATCAAACATGAGTGAGAAGCAGTTCAGGGAAGGTAAAACCTAAAACAGACATGGATCACAAGCTGGTTGGCAACATGATGGCTGGAAAATAAGGCTTAGGGCCTATTTAGAAGTGATTTCAAGGTTCTCCTATTCAGAAACAATCTATTTAATCTCCTTTCTGTAATCCAGTCTTGGTTTTACTCGCTACATGAAAAGAGTAACCAATTCTTCTCCAGATTGTGGTGGTAATGTACCTCAATAGGTTTGGAAAGTGCAAGAAATGCAGAAAGAAAAGAACAAATTCTCAATTGTTTAACCATTAACCAATCTTGAATGGCCAAAATAATCATGTTTATCTTTTATGATCCTGTTGTGAAATGGGAACCCCGAGGTCGCTGTCCAAACACAATAAGAACAAAACTACATCTTTTATCATTTGGCCTTCATGTCATAGGATCTATCACATATCGGTAAGATTTGAAAAATATGGGCTAGCCATTAGCTAACAACTTCTCATAAACCAACACAAACACCTTGTTGACATTTTTTTTTATTTTTTTTACGGGGAATACACATGATTTGATAAATACTTCAAATTGGACCCTGTTTGTGACTATTTATAACATTTGGTGCAACATCTGGCTAGAATGTGAGCAAACTGATTTTGATGCTTCTTGGATGTGTTGATCCTTTTTTTCATTGAATAACTATCTGGTCCACTTAAGAGACATGAGGTTACAGGTTGATAGTTTAATGGAGCAAGAAATCTGGCAGTGTGTCTGGCATTATAGGTGATACAGTAATGAGGGAAAGATGCGCAAGCTACCTGGTGTCGCCCACCCTTCAAACTTTTAAGTCCCGCCTGAAGACCCACCTCTTTTCCCTCGCTTTCGAGTCAGTTTGAGCTATGTTTTATCAATTTGTATGCTTTTATTTGTCTGTCCATAGCCCTTATGTGCCTTTTATCTATTCTTATGTGTGCCTTTTATCTATTATTGTAATATTATATTTTATTATAATGTTATGTGGCTGTGAAGCACTTCCGTAAACCCTCTGTTTTTAATATGTGCTATATAAATAAAGTGGATTGGATTGGATTGGTGACGTACACCCCAAGCTACACCTCTGTGCACAGTGCTAGAGATCAAACTACTAATGATGTGCAAAAAGACTATTTAATTCTTGACTAGCACAAATGAGCAAAATTAATTAAAGATTCCCGTAAAACTATCACAGAGGAATGAAGCTTATTGTTTTTCTTTTTGATGTTAGTGGATTGTCACAGCATTGAAATGTCTTTGTTTCTCAGCATCTGTTACTACACATGTATAGTGATGGGTGTATGCCATAAAGAGATCCTTCTGCTGCACAACATTCATAATAAACAAACCTGCATTTCACAGAGAAACACACACAGAGCACTGATGCTACATTGAACCCCAGTTTATTGCTATCTGATACAGCTTTTGATCCAATCAAATCAAAATATGATATTATTTAAACATCAAAAGATGTGGTGCATTCAAGAGTTGAATGTTCAAATAAATATTTGCCACATCCAGAATTTGACATGAATTCTGCTACCTTATCTTGAAAGCGTAATTCCCTCTTCTTTCATGATGCTGGATGCTTATTAAATAGTCAAATCCCCGCTTTGCTTCTCACACACATCTCATGCAGACTTGTGTGAGAGGAGAATTCACTATCAGAGCATATTACCTTCCAGGGTAATAGGGCCTTAATATTCTCAGGGACAGTCCTTTGATATGGATCTTTCAAGTGATGGCTCAATCCCCTTGTAGCTTAAATTCGTGAAGGGATATATTTGTGGCATTAAAAAGCAGATAGAGCACTCTAGGGTGCTTATAATTGGTACTGCGTTAT